ATATATATCTTCTTGTTCAGACCTTTGTTAGCCAGCGTATCTTTGTCCTCTTTAGTGGTGAACCAGGCCTGACTGACCAGGGACACCTCTGCCTTCTGATCTTCATCCTCAGGAAGGATCTTAACAGAAAAAAACAAAACAARAAACAATTTGATTCAAGCTGTTTTGTTGTAGGTTTTAACCTCTGACTCAGGGAGACCTGTTTCAGGTCTGACCTCGATGTGAGCGACGCCGTCATCGGACAGATCTCCCTCTGCGGTGGCCGTCATCGTCACCTCGAAGCCCTCGTCGCTCTCCGACACTGGAGGCGGGAAAAAACACAAATAAAACTTTGACCAGGTTCATCTGCAACTCGGAGAAAAGATTCTGAAATATAGACAGAAACACAACAGATTTCTGTTTTTATTGTTTTTTTTCTCTAATCAATGATCAAAAAGGCTCTAAATCAGGGATGTTCAAAGTGTGGCCCGGGGGCCATTTGTGACCCCTGACTTCAGTTCAAGAGTTATACTCATTTGTTTACAAATTAGTTTCCCCCCCACACCCAGGCGTTCGATGTAGACTTTCTATTTATTATGAGGGCAAATTTAATCACAAAGTAAAATCTTATAATAAAAAGTATTGGCCATAATGCTAATTATTTGTCTTTAAATAACCAGACTCTTAGCTTTAGTGACTTCCACTCGTCTTTTAACAGGTACTAAAAAGCATGAACACTTAACCCCGGTCCTGGCTTCTCTCCATCGGCTTCCTGTTCACCTGAGAACTGATTTTAAGATTTTATTTATGGCTTTTAAAGTTTTTAATGGTCTGGCCCCATCATATGTGATCTTCTTAACATCTACACTCCAGTCAGAGCACTCAGGTCTACCGACCAGTTCCTGTAGATGTCCCTAGATCCAAACTGAAATCTAGAGGTGACCGGGCTTTACGATATCTGCTCCAAAGCTGTGGAACAGTTTACCTCTTAATATTCAGTCAGCAGAAACTGTTGAGGCCTTTAAATCTTTGCTGAAGACCCATTTATTTTCTTTGGCTTATGTTTAAGATTTRGAGGTTCAGTTAGAGCTTTTTCATATATTGTGTTTCTGTATTTGCATCTGTTATTTGTTTGTTTTTTGATGTCTTGACTGAACTGTGAAGCACTTTGGTCAGCCTTWGTTGTTGATGTGCTTTACAAATAAATTTGACATTGACAATAAGGGAAACCYGCAAAACACTTTTAAAGTCAAGATTAATTTACGCATCCATTTCCAGCAATAAATCTGACTACTTCATTTGTTTAATTAAAGTATTCAATGCTTAGTTTATTGTTGAGCAGGTAAAGGAAAAATATTTTTGGTCCTCAAGTCCTTCTGACTTCATGATTTTGGCCGACGTGACAAAACGTTTGGACAGCCCTGCTCTAAATCCGTTAACTTACAGTTCATTTACTTTATAAAAAGGTTTAAAAAGATACAGAAGTGTAAAACTA